TTTAACTACTTCATATCACAAAACACATCAATTATATGCCAATAAACTTGGTGGGCAAGAATCAAATGTCCTATTAATCACAAGATTCACAACACAATTACACATGGACAAGAACAAAAAAAAAAAAAGAAAAAAGAAAAAGAGAAACTCACAATCTACTCTGCTAGGAGTCTGGGACCGACGTCGTCACCACTCGAGTCACGCTGGACGGTCGGAGACAGCAACTTAGCAGCACACAGGCACAGTACGCGACAACAGATTGAGAGCAATCGCCGATCGCCCTCCTCAACTCCTCTACGGTTTGTTGGGTTTCAATTGGAGTTGGGGATTTGTTTGTAAGGCTCAATTTGGTTTTGTTTTTGGCTATGGGTTGTAAATTGGCCCAATTATTTGGGCCTTATTGTTTGAAAACAAGGCCCAAAGGCACCTACTGTCTACTGAATTGAAACACAATAACAAAGGAAAAAAAAATTCTCAACCAACGCCAACTGCCTTCTTCACTGCTTCCCGGTAGCACTTCAAGCTCCCGGCGGACCCAGTACGGGTGGTCGTAAGGGCTGGCCAGGTGCTGGGTCCGCCCCTAGCTAATTACAGTAATGCCGTAGATGATGGCTCTGTGATCACCTAAAGCGCGTAGAATCATTGACGAAATTTTATTTTTACTGATTTTATTTTTAATAGAATATTATTTTTTATTTATGTTTAATGTTACTTATAAATATGTTACTTTTCTAACTAGTATTTTATTATCAGCATAATTTTCATCGTCACTATTTTTTATTACTTTATTTACCAACAAAAAATATGTTGGCCATCTTAAATTATTTCTATTTTATTACCGACAAAATTTCCAATAGGTAGTTTTTACTTTTTTACTTTATTTGAATTTACTTCATAGGCAAATTTTTAATAAGATATATTTTTTTAAAATTATTTCCAACATATCTTTATTAATTATTTCATTGTCATCCGTTACTACTAATGGCTATTCTGTCATTAATATTTATTATTTTTATTACTTTTTTAACCAACAGAATGTTGTCTATAAATTAAATATGTTAAAACTATTTATTTATTTATTATTGACTGAAATTTCTTCAAAAAGACGAAATAACCATGGGGATTTACCCGAAAACATAATCATGATGTTCAAAATATTTGTTAATCTGAAAGTATGGTTCAAATCATCATAATAAATCAGATGGAAGACAGACGACAACAGAGGGACTCTAAGAATCCTCAAGCTAACACGCAAATTACTTGTGAAGAACACAAGAATAATTGTCTGTCCCGACATCTTATGCAAGACAAGGAGGCTGCTGTCTCTCATTTTTATACAAGAGTGATCATTTTTTAACTAATTCGTTGAAAAAGTAATTTAGCATCTCAACCGTGACATTCGGCATGATTCAATCATTTCTCTACAATTTCTCTTGCACGGCCTCTTTCAGTGAGTTTCGAAGATAAAATCTTAACTCTTTCGTCTGTATCTAGGATCATCAAAATAAGTAAGAATACTATTCTACAAAAAATGTCATTTGTCGAGTAGCCTTAACTATTCTAGAACCCTTACTGATTTGATAGCTTGAGAAATATTGACCACGATTTTGATTTCTGACTGCCTATGTCTCTAGCAATGCTTCGGTTGTACTGTAACACCGTTTCTGCTTGCTCCAAATCAGCCATAGTACTCAGGGTTCCATTCAAACAACTTTCAACAACACTGCTATGATGTCAAAAATCGTGGTATCCGATTGCAGCACCCCTTCAAAGGCTCCTGCCGCTCCCAGCATCCCGCCTTCTTCAAGACCTTAGCTGAGCTGCATTTAAATAGCACGTCCATAAAATCCTCCTCCATCTCACATCGGCGAGATCCCAAACTTGTATCAATTCGACGCCTCTTAATGTTGACTTTAAGATGGCAGTGTCCACACTTCCCAAAAAAATTGGATTTTTGGGACAAGTTCCAAATTGATGGCCAAACAGTTCACTCGCACTGTGCATTCACCCCTCTCATCAAAGTGCCAAATCAATCC